AAAAAAAAAAAAAAAAAAAAAAGAGGAAGGGTTATTTTGATTCAGTTTCAGAGATTTCCATCTATGGCTGGCTGGCCCTGTTGCTTTGGGCAAGGAGTACCTGGTGAAGGAAAACCTTATGGGGGCCAGGAAGCAAAAGAGAAGAGGAAAGGGTGGGGTCCCAGTATCCCCTCCAGGGCACACCCCCAATGACCTCACTTCCTCCCACTAACCCCCGACTCTTAAAGGTTCCACACCTCCCAGTAGTGCCACGTGCTGGCGACCAATCATCTAACACATGAGCCTTTAGGAGATGTTCCTGATGCACACTGAAGCAGGAAGCATGGCTGTCTCGCACACGCTGACTTGGTCATTAGGAATTGGGATAAAGAGGAAGAAGTCTCAGATCTCCAAGCAGGCAACAGTGGTGGGTTTGGGAAGTCTTGGGCACTTGCTTGTGTTGTGAAGGCAGATTAGGACTTTGAGGCGACAAGCCCTTAGTGTCTTAGTGTCTATGCCTCCCCAATCTGTAACTCAAAATAAAACAGTCCCAACCATAAAATAAGTATAGGGAAGGCCAGTCATTTTCTGGCTTTTCCCATGATGATTACTTTGATGCTTTGTTGAAAATATTGTCCTCCTTCAGAAATGATGTTTATTCTCCTTGCTGGGTGTCTCCAACTCACTGGTTAGCGAGCATGTGTTTAGTCTGCTTGGTGGGACGCCCCGAGAGGGTCTGAGTGCATGACCAAAGAGCCAGAGGACTTTGGGGACAGAAAGGGACGTGAAGGTACACACTCAACACACCTGAGCCCACCATCTCTTATTGCAGCCACCCGACCACCTCAGCCTCCAGCTGCCCTCTCTGGCTTCCAGTTTCCCAGTAGGCTAAGTGGAGGACTTATCCGTTGTCTTGATGACACATTTTGTGGTATGTTTAGGAACCAGCTCAGATTTCCTGAGGGCAAACAGCAAACCAAATCAAACACACCAAACTCTGTTCTCCTTGCTCAGCAAAGTCCTTTCCCTCCCCCAGTCCCCGTTCAGCATAGTGCTGAAGTTTGCACAATCCGTCCAGACCAGACCGGTGGGGTGGAAAGGGGCAGTGGTGCAGGAGGCCAGGGGAAGATGCTTCCTCTCCCTCCACAGCTGTCTGTCTCTTCCGTGAACCCTATGCTGAAAAGGGGGTGGGTGGGATTGGCTGTTTATGTTCAGGACTCTTGGAATGGTGAAGGGTAATTTGTAGGAGGCCTCTCTCCAACATGGCCCTTGCCTGGAGGGTTGCCAAGGAGTTCGGGGCCTGGTTGGGAGTAGAGAGGGCAGGATAGGAGTGGAGACTTTTGATGCCAGGAGCTGAAGTCATACAGCAGACTCTTGGATGAACAGAAAGAGGCAATCCAAGCCCAGTGGGGGCAGCTGCCGCCAGTGAATCCCAGGAAATTATATGTTCTCTGGCAAAGGCTGTCCATGGTTTTGCTCCATCTCCTTGGCTGGGACAAACAACTGCCGTTCCCACCCTCCCCTGAGAGCCTGGAACTAAAGAAGTCCCTGGGGTTTGCCACGAAGAAATGACAACTGGCTTCGGCAATGTGGAGGGAAACCAGGGTGCAGCAATTAGATGCCCCTCTGGTCTGAATCAGGGCTTTGGCCTGTCACCAGCCTCCCCGGCAGCTGTTTCCACGGGGCCTTGAGGAATCCCCCAAGTCTGCTGGGCAGGAGCCAGGCCAAGGTCCTGTGGGCGCAGAGATGGAGACAAGTTTTTGGATGGCAAATGATTCTGTCTTGTGACCACGGTGGTGGGCAGTGCGGTGTGATGGGAGGAAGAACAGGGCCCTGCAGGCAGCAACCCCGGGTCTGCTTGATGGTTGTGTGACTTCATAAATGCCAAGCCGCCGTGTAATTTAGGACTTTAAATTACTAAACAAGGGCTGGGGATGTGGCTCACAGTGCTTACCTAGCATGTGTGAAGCCCTGGGTTCTATTCCCAGCACTGAGAGAATTGTTTGATGTCTCTGAATCTGTTTCTTCATCTGTAAAATGTGGATAACCATATCTACCTTACCCCATTGAGGTAAGGTTGAAAAATAAAGTAAAGGGACTCAGGCATCCAAGGTGCTCCCTGAAATACCGTCACAAGCAACCAAAAATCCCGTACACCTCTGGTTGAGGTCCAGTTACCAGCAAGAATAGAGAACTGAGAGAAAGGCTGCCCAGGCCCAGGCGGCCTGTCTCTTCTGGACAGCAGAAAGGTGTCCCCTGCTTCGCGGGGCATCTGTGGTCACTGTACTGAGAGAGCAGTGTGCACGTTCAGGAGCTGCCCTGTGTGCCACACTATCTGCATGCACTCTGGTCACAGAAAACAAGTATAGGACTGGGGTTGTGGCTGGGAATGAGGACTCTGGGTTTTCTCCAGGCTCCATTTCATAGATCAAAACAAGAGCTGGGTTTGCTTTGTCCTCTGCTCATTAAGGAAATTGGCCACGATGGCTGGGTCTTGGCCTGACTTGGAGAGCCTGAGGCCCTGCTGTGCCTCAGGTCACTGGTCATCCAGGAACCTGGTGACCTGGCTCTGTTCCTGGGTGGATTTCACCAAGGCCTGGAATGGCGGGATCTAAGGGAGCTTACCTACCTCCTCCTGGTAGGACGGAACTGGGGAAGCCACTTTTTCTTTCTTCAGCCATTGGAGTCCTCAGAACAGCAGGGCAGGGGCATACTCCTCTCAGGTCCCCACACTTCTCTGAAAGGCCACCATTTCTCAGTAGCTGGCCCACCTAGAGGGTGGCCCCCATTTTGAGCCAAGCCACCAGGCCTTGTGCCTACAGTCCTTTGCTCTGAGGTGGGTGGTTGTTATCCCAGGCCAGAAGTGTGCCTGAACAGCCCAGCTCAGGACCCAGAGACCCAGGCATGCTGTGGACACGAGAGGCTGTGCTTGGGCAGCAGCTCTCTGAAGGACAAAGTAGTCCTTCTACACAAGCAGAACTGTCACAGTGACATTCTCAAGGTACCCAGACACCAGCTCATGGGCTGCCTACCTTAAAGCATCATTTGATTTGCCAGAATTCCAGTTCAATAAATATTAAGGCTAGCAATATAGCCTTAATCCTCGCTACTTGGGAGGTTGAAGCAGGAGGATCACAAATTTGAGGCCAGCCTGGGCAACTTAGTGAGATCTTGTATCAAATTAAAAATAAAGAAGGCTGAGGGTGTAGCTAGGTGGTAGAGGGCTCACCTAGATGCATGAGCCCTGGGTTACATTCCCCAGTACTGCAAATAAATAGATAACTATGAGGGAGCATCCAACAAGGGAATCAAAGATGACCGAGAGGATCTCTGCTCTTTCAGGTTCTCACAGTACACAGAGACAGCAGCCTAGGAGAAGTACTACAATAGAAACACAGCCTTGTGTCTGATGGGAACTCTGTTCAGCTTTTTTGTTTTTTGATTTTTTGAGATAGGGTCTCACTGTGTAGTTCAGAATGCTCTGGAACTCGCTGTGTAGCCCATGCTGGTCTCAAACTTGCAGCAATCCTCCTGCCTCAGCCTCCCGAGTGCTGGGATTACAGGCATGCGCCACCACACTTGGCATCTGTTCAGCTTTAAAAGGCCCAGAGACCATGGCTAAACAACAGGAAGGTTTGTTTTTCTTTCCCAGGGGAGAAATCTGAATGCAGACCGCCCAGAGCTGGCATGGTTAGCTCAAGACATAGTAACTTCCATCCTCAAAATCCTCTCGTGGTCACCAGATAGCTATTCAGCTCCAGTCATTCTGACCACATTTGAAGCCTGGGAAATGAGGAGAGAGCAAAAGACACCTCCCAGCTGTGTCAGTCCTGCTTTTAGAGAACTTTTCCAAACTATTACCAACTTCTACCTACATCTCACTAGCTAGAATTCAGGCCACGTTCATGCCCGTCAAGCCTGTGTCTGTCAGTGGGGAGCAAGCGGGTAGGGATTTGGGGAGTCAGAAGTAGCTGCCACAAAAAGAAGAGTGAGGAAGGTATAGGAGTATTTCCTTGGGATCCTGAGATTGTAGCTGGGCCTTGAGAAACAAGGAGACTTCAGTACAAGGGTTAGGGTTATGTAATGGTTTTCCAGATAGAAAAACAACCAGAGCAAAGGCCCTGCTGCTTAGGAGAGCCAAGAGGGCCAGGAGTGAGCTGGACCCACCAGGGTGTGGGGAAGGGCAGGAGAGAAGGATGAAAGCCAGGCATGGTGGCACACACCTGTACTCCCTGCACCCAGGAGGCTGAAACAGGAAGATCACTATGAGTTTGAGACCAATGTGAGCTACACAGTGAGTTCAAAACTAGCCTGGACTACATAGTGAGACTTTGCTTCAGAAACACACCAGAAAACAGGGGAGGATGTATGGACACGCAGAGCTGGGTCTAGGTCAGAGCTCTGACTACCAGGCCCAGGATTTTGGACTTTACTCCTTTATTGTGCATGCAGGAGAGAGGGTTTGGGGCTGGACAGTGATGTATGTTTTAGGAAGCCTACGTCTGGTAACCTTTTAGGTGACGGGAGCCTTGCTGCTCGAAGGTTCATGGCCCACCTGGCACCCTTCCCTTCACGGTGAGCTCGCTGGAAGCATCTTAGATCTGAGCCGCCAGAGATTCCCAGGCCTGGGTTAGAGCTGGGAAGACAACCGCACACTGCGTAGAGCAGTGTACAGTTCAGAGACACCGATTCTGGAGCCAGACCACCCGGGTTCAGATCCTGCGGTTTACGTAACCTCTCTGGTGCCCCTGTTTCTGTGTCTGCACATGAGCATGGTGAATGGGCCCTGCCGCTTAGCACTGATGAGAAAGTTAAAAAGCCCTCACATTTACACACAGAGAAAGCCCTCGGGAGTGCTGCTGTTGCCAGTGTGGCCCTAGCTTCAGGCTGCCTGAACGCCCTCCCTCCAACCGGCGACCTGACCTTCTCTCGTGTCCCCTCCATGGAGCAGTATGAAGAGCGGTTTCTGCAGGAGGAGACCGTGTCCCAGCAGATCAACTCCATCCAGCTCCTGCAGACGCAACCCCTGTCCCCGCCTAAGGTGGTGAAGCCACAGCGGCCTCTGCAGAGGCGGGTCCACCTGAGGGGCCGGCCGGCCTCCAGGCCCACCGTCATCCGGGGCATCACCTATTATAAAGCCAAGGTCTCCGAGGAAGAGAACGACATCGAAGAGCAGCGTGAGTTGGGGCCAGCAGAGGCAGAGCGTGTGGAGGGAGGGAGCGTGTGGAGAGGGACTGCCCGGCAGCTCTGCCTTCCTTATAACTTGCTGAGTGGCCTTGGGCCAGTCACTTTCCCTCTCTGGGCTTGCCCAACCATGTGGCAGAGCTTGGCTGAGCGGGCAGGGACTTCAGTGTCCTCTAGTCCAGTCCTCCTTGTTTGCAGATGAGGAAACCGAGGCTTGGGGGGAATGATATGCTCAGGGCCACCTGTTCTTCCCTCCAGGCCCCTGAGCTGCCTGAGTCTCCAGCACCTCCCCTTATTTTTCACAGGAACTAGATTAACCCTCTCCCCACCATTTATTTATTTTATTTATTTTTTATTTTGAGACAAAGTCTCAATATGTTGCCCAGGCTGGGCTTGAACTTGCAGTTCTCCTGCTTCAGGCTACCAGAGTGCTGGGATTCCAGGCCTGTGTCACCATACCAGGCTCCTCTCAGCCTTCTTGACCCTCCTTACTCTACTCTGCTTTCCCCGCTAGCACCTGAGCACTACGTACAGCCTGTCTGTGGTTTGGTGTCTCCACCACTAGACAGAAGCTCATGAGGTCAGGGATCATTGTTTTGCTCCTGTGTGGTACATTTGTCAGATGAATGGACTGGATCCTTGGCTTCTTGGACACCAGGACTCAGAGCCTAGGACTGTGCCTCCCACCAGGGACTCCTGAGTTCTGGGTAGGATACAGGGCAGTCTGTTCAGAGACATTCCAGGAAATACAGGGTCCCTCCATCCACGCTACTTGTCCCCTTCTTCTAAATCCCAGCTGGGCTGTGTCTCCAAAGCAGGCCACCATGTTGAGGGCAGGGGCCTCTTCTCCACCTGCCGGTCACCACCCACCAGCCTCTGCCAGGCTGGGCCTCTTCCCACACCACCAGTGACCCTTGTGTTTGTTCCACAGAAGATGAGCTTTTCAGTGGTGAAAATGGAGTGGATTTGCTGATTGAAGACCAGCTCCTGAGACACGATGACCTGCTGACCAGTCCCATCCAGAGGCCAAGAGCCACCCATCACAGTGCTGTTGTGACAACTGCCCCAAGTGTGCAGACCACACCCCAGTCCTCATCGTCCAGCTCCACTGACCCTGCTCTCCAGGCCTCAGTGGGACAACTCTCGCCAACACTTCGTACCACACTGAAATTCCCAGATTCCTCAAGAGAGGCACCTTCTGCTCAGGTCCCCTCTACCACCATGGCCCACACAGCTACCCAGCTACCTCCAGCCTCAGCTGCCCCAGCTCCTTTAGATGCATTTGTGGAAGTAATATACACGGCCCCAGTGCCTCCCACCACAGTCAGGACAGATTCGCCGGGGAAGGAGGCAACTGCTGGACAGGGGACGGCCCCAGCCAGCCCCACCCTGACCCCCGAGGAAGAAGATGACATCCGGAATGTCATAGGTGAGTTCGTCCCACCTTCTCCTGGTCTTCCTGGCAGCTCGGGCAGAAGGCTGAGCCAGGAAATCAGGTGAAAGATAGAGGTGCCAGATGGCCAAAGATCTTCATGAGGAAAGGCAAAGGGGTGAAGCTCACGGTGGAGATCTTGCCTGGCACGTGCAAAGCCCTGGCTTCCTCCCCAGAACTTCAAAAATAAAAACAAGCAAGACAAAAAAGAAAGGTAGGTGGAGTTACACCTTTGACCAATATTTAGTATCTTTTTAAAATGTGACCGTGGTAAGAGTAGGAACCTCCTGTTTTGAAATGCCTAAATAAGTAGAGCCAAGATCTCACCCGTGTCTGTCAGTTTTATAAACACTTATGGGATAGGCTTTATGATGGGTATCGGAGTATCTATACGATGATCAAGTTTTCCTTAGTAAGTTCATCAGATGATGAAATAGCAAAGGATTCTTACTGGGAGGAAAGTCACAGGGTCATAGGAGAGTGGGAGCAAGAGGGTAATTGGTGCAGTGGGCCCTAGCGCAAAATCACTGTAGCCCCAGCCCTGGCGAACACGGAAATGTGTGGCATCGTGGGACAGATGTTCTCACAAAGGAGTGGAGAAACAGTGAAATGAAAGAGGGAGCACTTTGTTGGCCTGGCTGCTAGGAAGGCTGGGGGGTGTTTTTATTGTGAGCTGTTTTGGCGGGGACCAAGGATGGATCTCAGAACTTTGAGCTTGTGAGGCACATGCAGTGCCACTGTGCTAAATCCCCAGCCCAAAGGAGGATTTTTTAAAGGAGGCTTTGAAGAATAAATAGGATCTTTATATATAGGAAAGGGAAGTCCTCTGACCAAATCTAAAGGAGTAATGTATGTTGCAGGTGCATGGAGAACACAGCCCTGTTTTATGCCTGGGTTCTCCATGACTGCAAGTTGACTCACAGCACAGGGACTGAGGGGGCATGGAGGGTAGTTATAAATATCTCTTCCAAAAAGAGTTAAACCAACCGTTTATTAAGTCACCACTGAGAGTGACTAAATAAAAACACTATTGAATAATTATTTTTATCAAAATACTTAAATGAAAAATCCACTCACTTTCGGAGAGGACATGGTTTGCCTTATACACGTCTTTCCCTTTCCTCAATTTCTATTCTCTTGGCTGCCTTGTTCCCTCCCAATTCTTCGGGAGAAAGAGCCAGGTCCTGCGTGTGCCACGAGCCACGAACCTGGGTGCAGCCTGCTCTCTGCTCTTGACAGCTGTGTGACCTCAGCCAAGTCTCTGGCTTTCTCTGGGTCTCGATTGAATTAGAAGCTTTGTAAGGCCCATGTCTTCCACTGTGTCCTCTGGTTTTCTGCAGGAAGTTCACCAGGCCTTCTTACACCACGGGATACTTCATGGATGAGAAATCCCAAAATAATGGCTAAGCAGGGGAGTGGTCAGTAAGAGAGGAGCCTTGAGCCACATCTCCTAAGCAGTGGCCTAGAGGATACGGAGCAGGAAGGTAGTCCGTCCTTGCACCACTGAGGCTGGGTGGGGAGCAGCTTTCATGGAGGGAGGAGGAAGCCAGAGCAGAAGGTCACTTCCCTACCTTGTGGATAGGCAGTGGGTCCCGAGTAACCTCTGCAGAGCACTCTGAGGCCGCATCAAGTTCCCACTTCCACCCCAGCTCCCAGCAGCAGCCTTGGACCACAGCCCCCGAGTCCTGTGTGCCACCTCGCCCTCTGCAATGGTGCAAGCTCCTGAGCCCCAAACTGCGCCCTTCGGCCATTGTCATCTTTGGGTGAGAGGAAAGTTCCCCCAATTGTTAGAAATCGCCCTGCCTCCCATCACAGGTAGCTGGAACACACAGAGTGAAGACAGGCGGCAGGTGGGACCCTCAGACCTGTAAGTCTTCAGGGGAAGGGGTGGAGCCTGGGGCCTCTTCCCTTGGAGACCTGCTCGCCAGGCGGGGGCTCCTCACTGTGTCCATGCGACCTCTACCTGGGTGTCCGCACCCAACCGGATTTGGTTACCAGTGGGCTTTTCCAGTGTTGTTCCCGACTTAGACATTTATGGGGGTCTTAGGACAGCAGACAGGGAAACCCCAGTGTCCTGAAAGACATACCTGGTGGTGTGAGCCGGGGGACCGGGGCGCATTTTCTCTTGCTGGTCAGTATTCTCCTCTACTAGAAAAGTGACTGCGAAGAGGATGTTAGGCTCCTTTAAAGTCTAGCTGGTAGGCTTTTTCGAAAGAGCTGGGGCTCCTGCCTCTGGCATCTACTCAGAAAGTCTTGGATGTAACCATAGATGCAGTGTTTTCTTCAAATACCAAGAGTAGGACCAGAGTGGCACAAATGAGAAAGATTCGCCTGTGCAAGCGATGTGGAACTTTGATGAGTTTGTTTGGGGGAATATTTGTAATCACTTACTTGTTGTCAAGCACCTCTGGCTGGCTGCTGGTAGCGAGAATGGGGTTTCCATTCTGGAACTTTCTCTGCAGACCCCCTGACTTGGCTGTGTCTGGCCAGGAAGACTGTGGTGTGGTGACATCTCCCAGTTAAGTAAGAATCATTTGGCTGAAACAGACCCAGGCCACTGATTGCTGCCATGGAAAAGTTGTCCACTGCTGTACTGACTTTTGAGCTTAAGATGTGGTTTGAAATGGGGCTGCCTTTAAAAGGGACCTTGTATTTCATCATATTCCAAGCCTGATTTTGTGATTTCCTAAAATTCCTACTGTTATTCTTGGAGGAGTTTTCAATCCTTGGAAAAAATCCAAACACAGGTAAATTAGAATTTATTTTGGGCTGTGCAAACAAACCATTGGCCACGGTGTGACTCCACAGCGGGAAGAGAGACGCTGTTGGTGTCCGGAGTTGGGCTCGAGGAGGAATGGGCCAGCACGGATGTGGCAGCCCTGCTCCTCGGCCAGGCTTGTGGGGTTGGTCTGCGGGGCTGCCTGGCCACAGCTTAACAGATTCCCAGAGTTTATCAGGGGCAATTCTTGATGTGATTTTTAGAAGGGGCCAATTTGGAGGCAGGAAGGAACAAAGAGGCCAGTGAGCTTACCATAATACCAGGGAGAGGTAGTTTCACATTTGAAGCTCGGAAATACCGTGATCGGTGAAGAATGTCTCCCTCACGGAGCACATGACCTTAGCAACCCTGAGGCTTGACCAGGGTTGGCCCCTGTGGCCGAGTGCTAGCCTGGGTCAGAGAGGACAAGGACACTGCTGAGGCGAGGGCAGCACTTTCCAGAGCCTCCACAGCACCCAGACTTCCCATTGTTCAGTTAATCGCTGTCCCAAGTCTCTGGACAGGCAGCTGCCCACCCACTCACACTCTGGTGACTCACCTAATCCAGCCCCCTAGGGGAACTTTGCTTGTCTTACAGCCTGGACAAGAGAATTTAGAATGGACAGGGACCAAAGTCTCAGCTGGATAAGGAAGCCACCATAATTCACTCAGCGCGCGTGACCTCCGGGCAGAGGCAACCGTGAGAGCCTGGATGAGAAGGAAGAGACTGAGGGTGCTAAGCATAAAAACCATATGCCGAGTGGGTCCTTAGAGTACTAAGAGCCATCGCTGTGTGGGTGCTGCTGGTTTCAGGACTCAGCAACAGACCTGCAGGGCCTGCCGTGGACTTGCTCACAAGCCGTGTGTGAAATGGACACAGAAACGCGGTTTCAACCTGGGCGGTGAGCGAGGTGGTGAAGGAACACGCAGGGTGCTGAGGGTCACGGGGACGCTTCGGAGATGCTGTGCTGACTGAGCCATCTTGAAGGATAAGGGGAAATGAGGCAGGTAAAGGAGAAAGTGGTGTTGCACTGAGAGGGCCCAGAGCCAATAAGAGCACCTGAGGTGAGATAGCACAGGAAACCAGCTGCAGAAGTGTCAGGGCCGGGTGCAGCATGAAAAGGCAGTGAAAAGACTGCTAAAGGTACCGAATATAGAACTTCTCCGTCCTTCCAGGGGGACAGGGTGTGTCTCTTGCTTCTCCATACGGTGCTTTTTTATTTGCTGTTTCATGGTGGTATAAATAGAAAAATATTAAAACTTTAAGTTACTAGCATGAGTTTTATCATTCATCGTTACATGGTGCAATGTCAGTTTTGTTTGTTTAGTCTTTCATTGTTCTTTTGCGGTACTGGGGATCAAACCCGGGCAGGGCTAAGCTCTGTCCCAAGTCCTTTTTATTTTATTTGGAGACAGGATCTCACTAAGTTGCCCAGGCTGGGTTTGAACTTGCGATCCTCCTGCCTCAGTCTCTGGCATACTGTAGTTGAGTGTGATTACAGGTGGGCACCACAGTGCCTGGTGTACACATAAGCTTTCAAGGCAAACATGCGATCTTTTAATGTATGTACAGAATCCATCAAATGCCCAGTGACTCGCTGCACACGACTCACCCACCTGTCCCTGCCACACTTGATCCGTGTACATGGACCCACATGCCCTCCTTCAGCTACTGTGGGAGGAAGGACTAGAAAGAAAAGCAACTGTAGGTGCCCGTCTTCCCTCCTCTTCTGTGTCATGCTCCACATGAGCTGCTATCTAACACAAGCAAGAGCAGGCAGGGTCCTTCTTTGTATTTTCCAGCCAAGCTCTGATTGGTATGTGAGTGTGGCTCCAAGGCCATGTATTTACTGTGTGCTCAGCTTGAGTCTGCTGAGCTCCCTGCCTGAGGATCCCCCCAGAATCCCATGTCCAGTGGGCACAGCAAATCCTATATGCAAACAGGGGCAGAAAGACAGACGTGGGTGTCTAGCTTCCTCCTCTGTTCATATTTGTCCCCTGTCCTGTTAAACTTCGCTTATAAAACACAACTGCAAGGGTAAATGAAGAATTTCAGGAGAGCGACAGCAGAGCATTAAACCACAGGCAAATCATTCTGAGGGGCACCTGTGTGACTGCCCAGATCACATGCCCATAAAGCCAGCACTGGGCGTAGCACCCTCGGGGACGCCCAGTCCACACAGCTAGTGAAAGATCTTGGCCAGATTCACCCCAAGATGGCTTCTCATAGTCTTAAATTTGATTGCTTTGGGGCCCCTGCTCCTCTGGCCTCCTAGACTCTGGCGCCACCTGTTGTCTTTCTGCCTGGTCCCTGGAGGCATTGAGGTGAAGAGGAAAGAAAGGATGCAGTCCCTTGAAGAGTGAGTGGAGAAGGGGGTATCAGGGGGACCCAGGTTTCTGGCTTAGTAGGTAGTGGTCTCTCTCTCTCTCTCTCCCTCCTCTTTATCTTTTTCTCTGTCTCTCATCTGTCTCTCCCTCTCTTGGTACTGTGGTGGTACTGGGGATTGATTCCAAGTTCTTCATACTGAGCTACATTCCAAGTTCTTTTAAATTTTTTAAATTTTGAGACCAGGTTTTACTAAGCACTAAACTGCACAGTCTGGGCTCAAACTAGCAATCCTCCTGCCTCCGCCTCCCAAAGTGCTGGGATTATAGACATGCATCACCATGTCCAACTCAAATGGATTTCTTTTTTTAACCCATCAGGTTTGAGGATCAGGAGAACACCCAGGAATACCTCAAGTAGGCTATTAGATGTCTGATGCTCAGAAACAAGACCTGGGCTGCAGTCATCAGTAAGAGCTGAGCTTGCCCAGTGAGTGCCAGAGGGCAGAGAGGAGAGGGGCAGAAGTGGAGCTCTGAGGCACAGTGTCTGGAAGGGAGCTGAGCTATCCCGAGAACTGGAGAAGATAAGGCTGGGGAGAGGGCAGGGACCGGAGTCGGTGGCAGGTGTGTGGAAGAGAGCAAAGGAGACCCTCCTGAGGTGAGTGTGGGTACCAGGGGTGGCCCACAGGTTCTCACCCAAGGAGAGGCTTGGCTGCAACATGAGGACCAGAGGGCACCCCTGGGGGGCAGTGTCAAGCAGGCAAGGCCGCTGTGGGCCAAGGGGTAATGGTGTACAGCCATTGTGGGTGAAGAGGGGCACCTGCGGAGACACAAGCCAGGGGCGCTCACAGCTGAGGGAAGGTGGGGAGGCTGATGTGGATTTTAGGATGCTGAGATTCAAGAAGGTTTATGTGCTGAGGACAGAGCTGCTTCTTTTGAAGGAGGCCAGCTGCCTGGTGGGACTACTGATAAGTGAGTTAATCCATAGAGCATGTTGGTAATGTTGGCCGTCACTTTCACCACTGTCCTTGGCAGCCCCACTCCGGGGGAACCCAGATGACTCACAGACAGCACCACTCTCTGTGCAGTTCCTCTGAACTGCCTCCCATCCTCTGACATTAACTTTGAGGAGGAGACAACACACTGCTTCTCTCCAAGGCTGCTGTCTGCTGCCAAGGGCGGGAGCCTCTGAGCCGCCCCAGCCTCTCAGGGCGGGGTGGTATATCTGGACCCCATGGCCTGGAACTCCTCCCTTGCTCCTGTCTTCAGATGCTCTGAAACCACACACCTTGGTTCTGCCAATCCTGCCTGGGCTCATCCACCCTGTAAGGCCGCTAGTGTCTACTGGATCTCAGGCCATGTGGAAATACGTCCTAAGATCTCGAGCATGGAGACCCCCAAGCCTGCAAACTAGGCTCCCTTCTTCCTACAGGAAGTAAGGACACCTCCCTTAACCTCAGAAACTGACTCCATTTACATTAGTTTCCTGTGCCTTCAAATTGCCCTGTCTCCTGATTAGACATGACAGAAATTTACTGTTTTAACCTCTTCTGGAGGCCAGAAGTCCAAAATTACAAATTTACAGGTTTAAAAAAATCATGGTATCAGAGGGCTGGTGTCTTCCAGAGGTTCTGGAATCCATTTCTTGCCTTCTCTAGCTTCCTGTGACTGCCAACATTCCTTGGCTTGTGGCCAATCACTCCAGCCTTTCCTCCATCATCACGTCGCCAACTCCTCTTCTGTAGTCACATCTTCCCAGGCCTCCTTGTTAAAAGATACGTGTGACTGCACTAAAGACCCACTCATATAATCCAGGATAAACTCCTCAAGATTCATATTCCTTCTCTTTCCCAGGCTGGCCTTAAACTTGTGATCCCCTTGCCTCATCCTCCCAAGTAGCTGGGATTACAGAGGTGTACCACCATCCCCGCACTCCTCAGGACTTGACTGAATCATATCTGCAGATTCCCTATAAGGTCACATGCTCAGGTTCCAGGAATTAGAACCAGAGCATCTGCAGGGACAGTGGACTCTGCAAGCCCTCTTGTGAAGTAGGCAGGGCAGGCATTATACTTGTTTGACTGCTGGGAAAGTCTAAATTCCATGACCCTATGGAGGCAACACAGACTTTGGAGTCAGGGCTGGGCCACAACAAAGGCCAGGCCGTTGGCTCCAAGTCTGGGCACATCTGCACCTCACATTAGGGTCCTGCCATTGAGAGCCTCAGTGTGCAGACAGGACCCTGGAGGGACCCGGGGGCCAGTCCAGGTCGCCCACATGTCAGAACTCAAATGAGCCCTGGCTTCAGGAGCCCAGCTGCAGTTTCCATGCCTGGCCAGCTCGGTGGCACAACTGTGGGAACCCAGCAGAAGCAGCTCTCCTAACCTGGCCATTTGGAGGCTTTGGGGCATGGCTGGAAGATGCTTTTGAGACAGGAATCGGTGTCCTTGCTGGGCTTTGCCAGGAGAAAAGGGCACATGCAAATCGCTCCATAAGTACAGCACGGGAAGGCCTCTCCACTGGCAGACAGGTCCCCATATAGTGCCAGGGAATGAGATCTTTTCCATCAGAGTCTGCTGCTGGGCTTAGCCAGAGACTTCGATTTTATTTTCTTGACCAGATGAGCTCAGTTGTGGGAGAAGGAGGCATTGGCATGTGGGTTTTGTTGTTTGTCACATGGAGACTGGATCTCTCTCTGCATTGTTAGAGCTGGACCAAGAAACCTCATGCAGAGCTTCCCAAGCTGGCCAGCTACACCCGTCTGTGGGGCGTGCCTGGAAAACAGTGTTTGTCCAAAGCTGCCCAGACTCAGGGCCAAGGACACACCAGGCTCCCCCATCTGGCCAGCTGCAAGCCTCGGGCTCCTTTCTCAGACCATTTCTGGGGAACAGACATGCAGTATGATCACAGTGCTGTACAAGGTAGATGTTTGAATTTAGAAGTTTATTACAGTAAATGACACACTGCCATTAATCCCTAGCAAAACACTCCCCCTTGGTTTGAACACACTTAACCCCATCATTCCTGTCACACCCTAACGCAGTTCCACAAGTCTTTTTTCATATGTTTGTGAGGTATGATCAAAAACACAGTGTTGCGTGCCATTGAAAAGAAAGGTAGGCTCGTAAAAACGTTACAGGGGGTCCTCGTCCATCTTATTTACCAGACCTGGCACTGTGTGACTTCCGGCCCTTCCCCAAAGCCAACATGGCCAGGAAAGATAAACATTTTAAACTGATGTGGGCATCGAGGCAGCGCATCTGAAGACACTTATGAAAGAGGACTTCCAGAACTGCTTCAGAAAGGGGCACGAACAATGGGACATTGTGTTTGCAGTGGCGGGGAGGCATTTTGAAGGGATTAATGTCAATGTGTCTTTTACTGCAATGGTATTTTTAAAAATGTAAACATTCACTATTTTTCTTCCATCACACCCCATTTGGACATGGGGTGACAAATGGAATCAAGAGGACCCTGAGTCCAGACTGTAGGCCCGTGTTCCTTTTGTCTCAGAGGAGTGCCTAGAACCAGTATTCTAATCACCATTCCTTATCTGGTCTTCCAGTCTTGATGGCCAGCAGCAGTGGGAGGGTAGCATGTCAGGGTCTGCTGTCCCTGCGGCCACAAGGGATGGAGGGGGCCAGAAGGGACAGGGAGCAGGATCCACCTAGTTGCCTTTTCCTGTCTCCTCTGTAGCCCACTAGTTATGGGGACAGCAAGGGCACATGCCCTTGAGAGTCAAGTGTGACTTTAGTACCATGCAAGTCCATGTTCAAAAGCAATGTTAAATAAAAACTATCACAGGCTTTCAAGTTGGTCTAGAACCCACAATTGTTTTAGTGGCCTTTTAGGACCCCTGGGTACTGGACCACTCTGAAGGATGTTGCTGAGTTCCTGTCCCATTGGGACTGACTTAAACTTTGAAGAAGACTCCAGCGCTGAGAGTGAGCTCCTTGTGCAGGCACTTGGGACGCTGCCCCTGCAGTTGCCCAGCAAGGGACCCTAGTGTCTTGCTCCCAGCAGTGGCTGGGCATGGACTTGAGGACAGCTCTCTAGGCCCTGCCGGGTGACCTCAGTGTACAAATGTCCACCGTATCTGCAGGGCTGTCCTGAGCTGTTAGCTGCTGGTATTCAGTGTTCCCTCCCGTTTGCACCCAGCAGAGTGCTCACCTCTGCTCATTTCTCACACAGCCATGCGCTCCTGCAAGTGTCAGGCCATCTGTTGGCTCCTGCCACTTGCGAGACACCATGAGCTCTGGGTAGAAAGAGCACAAGGAGGAGGAGCCACAGCCCCAACTCCCCTGTGCTCACATTCTGGTTGGGGTGGACATGGAGGAGGAGAGAGGCACAGGCACTGGGGAGAGCAAGAAGATATGTCCAGTAGGGGAGGTATATGCATGGTACCGTGGAGCAGGATGGAACGGAGCGTAAGGACAGACTGGCTTTCCTGAGGGCGTAAGTCTTAAGTCCTTGAGAAAGAGGGTCAAAAGTCAGAGAACAGGAACAAAGCATGCTGGCGTGACAGAAACAGATGACACTGGAAGGATGTCTGGGATCAGGCGACAGGGCCAGTGCAGGCTGCCATTCAGATCAGGAAGTTTCAGGTGTGGGGGTTATTGGATCATTCCAATACCCATCCTCCTCTTCTCCCCTAGGAAGGTGCAAGGACACCCTCTCCATGATCACAGGACCGACTACCCAGAACACATACGGGCGGAATGAAGGGGCCTGGATGAAGGACCCCCTAGCCGAGGATGAGCGAATCTATGTAACCAACTATTACTATGGCAACACCCTGGTAGAGTTCCGGAACCTGGAGAACTTCAAACAAGGTATGTTTCGGGGGCCCAACTCAGAAAACTTTCCTCTGCCCCACTGCCCTCTGGTTTTGTTGGTTGGCTTGTTGACTGGTTTTTACAGTGCTGAGAATTAAACCCAGGACCCTTGCACTGCATTATGTCACCAGCCCTTTAAAAGTTTTGTATTTATTTTGAGACAGGATCTCAATCACTAAATTGCCTGGGCTAGGCTCAAACTGGAGAACTTCCTGTCCCAGCCTCCCAGAATGCTTGGATTACAGACATTCATCACCGTATTGGATTTGTCCTATGTCTTAACCATGGCCAGACCTCTTTGGGTGGTGGCAATAAATGAGACAAGTGACACTTCTGGTGGTGAAAGGACCTTTCCTGGGAATGTGGCCCCCCTTCCACCCTATAGGAGCCAGCCTACAAGCTGAGCTCAAACCTACCCAAGGGGTAATGAAGTTGAAAATTAAAGACACACAGAAACAAGTTAAAATCTGGTGGGAACCAGAGGGCTCATGCCTCCCTTCAGCATAGAGCTCCAAATGACTGGCGCACCTTGGCTTTATTCACTCAGACACAGGCACGAGCAATTACAGTTCCACAGGCTTCATCTGTCTCCCACCCTCCATGGTACCTCTCCGGGTAAACAACTTTTTGACTTCTCCTCAGTGCTCACCAGGAGGCCAGTTAGGCCTCATCTTCCCATCTGATCTCCACACTACCCTCCTTCACATTCTCTATTCCCAGCTCTTCTCTTTCCCAGCTCCTGGGACATGGGATGACCTCGAGTCCTGCCAGAAGACGGCAGTAAAACATCCTCCTTTCCCCATAGCCCTCAACAGTTAGTTTACAGATCACACTCAGATATTAGCGCTTTAGATCCTTGAAGGCCCGAGTAAGGTGGAAAGGAATTGCTCTTGCTATGTAACAGATGAGAATCCCAAGGTGCAGGATAGTTAAGTGATTTGCAGTGGAGAGTGCAGAGCTGAGACAGGAACCCAGGTCCGTAGGCCCTGCTGATGGCTCATCCCCTCCCAGGATCCATCAGGCCCATCCACAACACTGCCCTCAAGGCCCCACCTTCTTGCCACCCACAGGTCGCTGGAGCAATTCCTACAAGCTCCCATACAGCTGGATCGGCACCGGCCACGTGGTGTACAATGGCGCCTTCTTTTACAACCGGGCCTTCACTCGTAACATCATCAAGTATGACCTGAAGCAGCGCTACGTGGCTGCCTGGGCCATGCTCCATGACGTGGCCTATGAGGAGGCCACGCCCTGGCGGTGGCAGGGCCACTCAGACGTGGACTTTGCTGTGGACGAGAATGGCCTGTGGCTCATCTATCCTGCCCTGGATGATGAGGGCTTCAGCCAGGAGGTGATCGTCCTGAGTAAGCTCAATGCCGTGGACCTGAGCACACAGAAAGAAACCACTTGGCGCACAGGGCTGCGGCGGAATTTCTACGGTAACTGCTTCGTCATCTGCGGGGTGCTGTATGCTGTAGACAGCTACAACCAGCGAAACGCCAACATCTCCTACGCCTTCGACACCCACACCAACACACAGATAGTCCCTCGGTTGCTGTTTGAGAATGAGTATTCTTACACCACCCAGATAGACTACAACCCCAAGGACCGCCTCCTCTATGCCTGGGACAATGGCCACCAGGTCACCTACCACGTCATCTTTGCCTACTGACACCCTAGTCCCCGGGAAAAGAAGCAAAGAGGGGCCGCTAGCACCTTGTGTGTGTGTGCGTGGGTGTATGTGCATGTGCGTGAGTGTGCAGGTGGGTATGTGTTGTTTAAAATATATATTATTTTGTATAATATTACAAATGTAAAATAGACAGTTTGGGTCTATTTTTTTTTTTAATGTGGATTGTAGATCAATCCATACGCATATGTGCTGGTCTCACCCTCCACAGTTTATATTTTTGCGCAAATGAACGTCTCCTTTTGACCAGTAGCCCCTTCCCTTGGTGGCCCCCACCCCTCCAGCTCCCAGGTCTCAGCTGTTGCAGGTTTCTTCATCCAGGTCTTGCAGCAGACAGTGCCAGGGCAGGAGTAAAGGAGGAAAGTGGCAGGAAAAGTTTCATGTATTGGAGAAGTTCTAAAAACCCAGAGAAATGCTTTTTTTTTTTTTTTAAATAAAGGAGAAGTTTAAAATCTTCCTCCAGTGTGCTCTGTTTAGTAGGGATGTGTCTAGCCAGTGGATGGGTGCCTCTCCTGACTGTGTCCCCCGGAAGTGATCTGCTGTGTCCAACTGCAGGCCCAGGAGCTCCTTCTCAAGCTGACCCTGGGTTTTTAAAAATGTTGTGACATCAGTCCTTGACACACACAATGACTTTAAGGACATTTAAACATTAGACTTCTTGATTCACTCTGTTCTCTTCAAAGCCAGGAATATCTAGTTCTTATGAGATATCTTTCCAGTCTACGGCCGTACCACCCCGAATGCGCCCGATCTCGGACGCTAAGCAGGGTCGGGCCTGGTTAGTACTTGGATGCGAGATGTCTTTCCACACAGATAACACTGTCTGGACTCTTCTTCTGCAGTAGGAAAAGCTGCCTCTGGTCTCCTGTAAGATCTTTTCACTTCAGTCCCATGGTTGGGGTGGACCTGGTAGAAGGGAAGGAAACTTGGTTGCAGGATGGTTGGCCAAGTTTCGAAGGTCCTTCCTTTGCACTTCAGAGCAAACTGGATGAGGTTCAGCCGCTGAATCTCTGTGGAGAATTACCTTAGTATGACATCTGGAAAGACTCCAGGGCAGAGGTTCAGTCAACTTTTTGTGCTGGGTCTATTGGCAGGTGTGTGAAACCCTCAAAAAGGAGCTCCAAGGTAGCCCCAAAGGAGTTCTATAGCTCCGAAAAGAGATGTAACAAATGGCAGGGAAATAAGCCAACCTTGAATCTGTTGGTTGCTGCCTTGAGTCTTTTCTTTTTCGTTAGGAGACATTTTTTATTGTGAAAGAATTTTAGATTCCCAGAAAGTTTACCACATTGCTAGAGAGCTTCGACATACCCGTCATTCAGTTAGTCCCAGTATTAGCATCTTACATAATAAAGGACTTAGTCAAAACTAAGAAGCCAACATGGCTAAAATATTGTCGGCCTGGATCAGTGAAGTTTCTGCAATCATCTGGAGCATTTTCTTCCTGTGTTTTAAGGCCACTGTTTTGCTGCAGAGACAACGCTTTTTCTGAGAAATACCTCTTTCTGGCTTCCTCTGACGTTTTCCTCCAGGTCCTTTCTCTCTGCTTTCCCTTCATAGGCTTGATTAAGTTCAAGTTAGACATTTTGGGCAGAAGATTTCACAACGGTGCTGTGAACAGAATTTTCCACATTCCCTACTGTCCCTCCCTTGTCAGCCTCACCTGGTAAACCCGCCACACCTATTCTACCTGACTCCTGGGTCTCTTTCCACTCTCACTGCTGACAGATGTATCTGGCTTTGATCATATCTCAGTAACCAATGGGCACACACCAGATCTCCTGGGTGATGATCAGCGAGCAACTTGACTTTTCCCCATCATTGTCCCCTAAATACACTGTATTTGGTGGTCCCGTTCTTTTCCTGCTCCTGTAGGAAAACTTGGACAGGCCCCTTGTCTTCTTTGGGTTATTAAAAAGTCCTAAACCCTACAGGTTTATTTGAGTAACTCAAAGGGCTAGTCCACTTTAATAGTCAACACGTTGAACTGGATTTCAGGTTGCTGCCCCAGCCCTGTCTGTCCCTACCGAAGCCTGTTGTAGATAGGAATTCTGGCTGGATTTGGTGTTGATCCCTCCAGAGGGGAGCAGGAGAATGAACAGAGGGACAAAAGGGGAAAAAAAACAAACACTTGACTGATAAAGTTCTGTGGTCCAGAGAGATATTTAACGTGTTCTCCTGAGGGTGGTTTGGTTTTGTTTTGTTTTTGCAGTCCAGGGGATGGAACCTAGGGGTACTCTCCCGCTGAGCCACACTCCTAGCCCTGTTTAATTTTTACTTTGAGATAGGGTCTTGCCCGGGCTGGCCTCAAAGTTGTGGTTCTCTTGCCTCAGCGTCCTGAGCAGCTGAGATGATGGTGTGTACCACCACGCCTTGCTTCTGTGAGTTCTTTTCTGAACTGCCTTGCCTTTTGCTGGGGACACCTTGTCATTTTCTCTTTTCATGGACTAACATGTCTCCATTCTGGCCAGCTGTCCACCCCTTCCTGAGCACCTGGACAGCTCGTGCTGTCTCCAGCTGCATTCTGCTGAAATCTCTGGCCTCTAAATTGCCAAATTGGACAGGACCCACAGTGACCCCAATCATAGCCACATCTGGTTCACAGAATATTCGTATGCATTATTTATCCTGACAAAGTCTGCCATTGCAGGTTGGTCCCCAGCTAAGTCATCTTTGCTGACAAGTAGCCAGCCAGCCCATCTTCCTTCCTTAGGTCTCTCAAAAGGGAGTCAGTCACTGGTCCACCATGGCCCCCAAGCTACAAACCACCCCCCCAAAAAGAAAAGCATAGATAAAATGTCCCAAGTGGCCAAATTAAAGCTCTCTCCTCTGAACCTTCCCTGAAGTGCAGGTACACCCCACCCCAGGGAGAGGGAGGAACTCAGCAAAGCTCTCTCCAGAACAATCTTCACTCTCTTGAGTTTTTCCCCAACTCTCAATACTTTTATGTTTTAATGTGGGTAAAGAGTTTAGAAGTCTCTGACCGATTTCTGGACTCCTCCCTGACACTGCGCATGGCATGGCCCACCCTTTGGAATGTGAGATCTGGTACCTCCTGGGGCCTCTGTTGCTCTCCCACTTCCACATCCTTTGCTAATTCCCCAGTTCCTCATGTCAGAACCCCTGGCTCTTCTTAATATCTCAGACTGTTTTCAAGAACCAGACCAAGCAAAGGCTTGTCCAGTTCCTCAGTCAGAGCAACAGGAGCCCCTACTACGTACACAGCATCAAGTGTGTTGGGTTTTTTGTTTTGCTTTCCTTGAGACAGGGTCTTGCTATGTAGTTCAGGCTGGCCTTGAACTCATTATATAGCAGAGGCTGGCCTCTAACTTGAAGTGAACCTCCTGCCTCAGCCTCCTGAGCGCTGGAATTACAGGCATGCAGCACCAGTCCCGGCTGGGTTTTTTTTTTGTTGTTGTTCTTATGTGTGAGCAAGTGTCCTTTGCTCAATGAGTCCCCCAGAAGGTGGAGGCTGCTCCTTATCCACTTGGGACTTCAAAGCACTATAAAAAGTCTATCCCTGGTCATTAGGGATCTGGGGAATGAATGAGGAATGTATTTGGGCCACACAAAATTCAGATTAGTGACTTCATAAACCAGAACCTAGGGAAAGCCATAGATCTTCCTGCGGCATATTTTCAAGGAGCCATTCACAAATGGTCTGTTCCTCCAGGTTCTCCCACCACAGGGTCTTAGTCAAAGCTCAACAACCTAGCTGGTCTTAGCATGGTCATGTGGAAACACAGGGAAGCTGACAATCAAGTTGGGCAGACTTCTGGACACTCACTGAGAGGGGACCCTGCAACGGCCAAGAGTTGTCCACCCTGTCACCAGATAGTGTGGGTCCTTGCTTTTTGTAATGATGCAAATTGAAACAAAAGCACGGATTTACAGAAAAACAAAGTTACAGTTGCTGGGAGGCCAGTTTTCAAGGACCAGGTGATGGACGGGGGTCCTGTCACTCATTACCTCAGTCCTGGTGTCACGGTTCTGGAATGTTTATGACTGAGCAGTGGTTCCATTCTCAGGAAAGGATTGCCGCCCTTTGCAGGGGTCTCAGTCACATGGTACTGGAGGGCAGTCAGTCTTCCAACTGCTAGAAAGGGGGACAGTGAGGGCAAAAGAGAAAAAAAGACAAGAGAGACATGAGTAAATTTCAAAGCATATGGAGGCCTGGGAGGCCAGTGCCTTAGAGCAGGCGAAGACCAAGAGTCTCAGAGGAAGCCATTGTTTATTGGGCACACACAATAATCAGAGGGAGCTCAGTTCTTAGATGGTGATGGCAATCCTAGGACAATGAGGGACTTATGCTGCTGAGGATCTTAGGTCATGAGGGTCGCAGGTAGAGGAGGACTGTAAGGAGAGCTTTCTTACCATGGTAGGTAGGAGGAGTTAAACTGATAAGGAATTTGTCCCTCCCTAGGTGAAACCTTTCTCTTTTTCCTCAGTTCTCAAGGAAGCAGGACATCTTTCACAGCATCATGGGACCATTGAGGTCTCAGCTGTGACCAGAGGCCAAAGTGGAGTTCGTATCATGCCATAGCTAGCCTGTAGGCAGGAAAACTGGGCCCAATCATGATTTAGCTGTGAAATGATTTTTTTCCTAAAATTATGTAGAATTGCTCCTGACAATATGGGGGCTATGCCTTTCCTGGAATCCAGGTGATCACAGGTTTGGGGAAATGACTGGAGGCTTCAGGATATAGCCACATGGCCCTGGAAATCCCCCATCCTGGTATCCTCAGTCTTGAATGGGAGAGGATAAGTGTACAGGATTAACTGAGAAGAGACTTGCCTCACAATTTATAGTTGTCTGAGTAGCCCACCAGGATTATAACAGCCCCAATAATAAATTAGAGGGGCAGAGTTTAATGAAAGGAAGCCACAGTATTTGTAAAAGAGAATAAGGAAGGGGGAGTAGATCGGTACCTTGATAAGAATCAGAGCTGGGGCTCCAGAAAGATGGAGAACCCATGACCCCTTTGTTTTCAGCTGTTTTTATAGGGGGAATGAGTGACCCTGTTCCCTTCACCAAGAACTGGATTGGCTTTGGAGCACCTCTGCCTGGCGTCATTTCTTCCGGCAGTCCATGTGCAGCTGTTTTGGCCTGTCCATTTACTTATCTCTGGCCTGTCTTTTAAGGCCTTCTCTTTGGGGTGGGCAGCTAGTTGGCAAGGGGGTGCCTTGTTCTTGAACTCAGTAAGGGGTGCGTGTGTATCTACTGTACTCTATAATGACCCCAGACTGAATAATACAGTGACTCTAGAGTGAATACAGATGTATATAAGTGTGTATGTTAGCGCATAGGTGTAAGTACACACTGGGGGAGGCTCATTGTGCACCTCGCTTTCACTCTGTGTCCTGCCTATCGGCTCTTTTTCTGATCTCTTGGTACAAGTCCCAAGGCCATTTGGTGCCTTTCTTAATCTTTTTTTCTTTTTC